GTTGATTCTTATATTCTTTAAAGAACCTTCTTGGTGGTGTATATGCTTACCTTGTGAATCATTCATATCTTTGGTCTCTGACTTAGGTTGACAAGTGCATTGCTGCAATGTATAAGAAACTACAGAAGAATTTGAGTTCGGAGGATTTGTTACCTTCCTTATGGGACAAATGCAAGGTATACTATATCGCAATATGCGTGTAGAGTCAATTCTGCAGCTTGAGGATTAATTTCTTGTAGAGTCAAATTCTGGTCAATCCAAGTCAAATATATTTTCTTTGGCTGTAAGTAAGATCCCCAAGGCCAAATTGGAAATATTTTATGAGTGCTTGGCTAGTTTCACCAAACTAGTTCATGCTGCAATTTTCAAACTTTGAGATGTAAAAGGCAATTAAGTTGGATTTTTGATAGTGAGTGATCTTATTTCTCACAATCATCCAATAGTGCCTGACTAGGATGGTAACTGCTTGAGAGGACAAACTCTAATAGTATAGGAACGCATATGAAGTCCAAAAAAAAACTTACACTGCCATAGGTCAAAATTCAACTCATTGAAATGTGGAGAAAAAGGGAAACCAATATACGAAGCTCTCACCTATTGGAGTTTGGGAAGGGTATATGCATATTTTTTTACCCACAAACAAAGATCCTATTTCATGATTTGAACCAACGACATTGGCCATTCATGTCACAAGGCAAGCAACCTTGTCATTTTGCCTTGTTCATCCTCTATAAGAGTTAAATATATTTTTTTGTATGAATTCTTATTACTTTATAAGTTTTTTGCCAGACTCTTCAGACTTTATAGTTAGATGGTGATAGTTTAGGACAAAGGCCGAATACAATTTTTTATAAGTATTCTCTTGTATTTCAATAAAAACAGTGTTGTCTGGTACCCTGGTACATGTGTAGTGTAGCACTAACGCCTGTTTGGAACATGTGTTTTTATTGAATAATGTTGGGTATATTCAATTACATAATTAATTATTGAATAATGTTGGGTATAAAACTATAGCAAGTGGTTTAGATTAAAATATGGTGTAAAGAGAATAGCATTTTTTTGTAAAAATATTGCTGATGGCTGCACAATCGTTCATTTACAAACCGCTCAGGTGGGCCCACCCGAACTCACTTGTAGTCCAATGCTTGTAAAACTGAGTAGAATATACATGCAATGCAAGTAAACTATTATTCATTGTTTCCTCAAAAATATTGCAGAAGGAGTTTCTTGATCAGTACGGAAGTATTGCTCAACTTGTGGCCAAGATTTACCCCACTGAGAATATCCCTTCTGTAGCTGAGATGAGAGACCTTTTGGCTTCCATGTAACTTTTTGTGTTTTTTTCCTGTGCAAAAATTCTGCCTAAATGTTTCTGTATATTTATTTTTCCCTGTATAATCTTTCTTCTCTTCCTTGTAATTTATTTATTATTCAATCAAGTATATCCTTTATAATAGTTTTTTTTGAGAAAAATATGTATGCTTTCATATTTGAGTTATATCAGAGTATTGTGTGTTCATTTTTCTACGTTTTTCACCGTATTTGTATATGCATCTCTCTCTATATCTCTATGATTTGTTTGTGAGTTGGATTTTTGAAGAAGAAGAGAGGGAAATTTATAGCCATAAAATCTACTCAAAGAACATTGCAAATTAAAGGTCACAAAGATGTAGCATTACGGTCACATTCTAGTGTAGAATGCACAGTAGAATTGTATTTATACTGATAGTCATATTCTATCATAGCATTGTATAAATATAAACTAATAAAAATACTAACTTTTATAATAAGGTTTGAACTTTGAAGAGTGGTGTAACAGTACATTAGTAGGTGTAATTTTTGTGAGAACAATGAAGGTGAATAAAGGAGTGGTATGTATAATTTAAAAAAAAGTGTGTGAATAATGAAAGTGAATATATGAGTGGTAATAACTAGTTCAATTACAAATTGGGATAACAAAAAATTTGTTAGAACTCAGAAGCACACATTTTCAACTAGGGGTGGCACAAATGGATGGATTTGGATGGTTTTGAATTTGGATGAAAGTGGATGGATGAAAAGTCACCCATCAATCCATTTAAATCTATTTAAATCATATTTTAAGTTATCCAATCCATCCATATCCAATGAATTGTAATCCATTCAATTCATCCGTGACTCCATTTTCATGGATTGAAATGGATGGATATTCAATCCAATCCATAACTTCATATTTTTACAATATGTTTTCTTTTATAAATTTTTTTTTTTAAAAAAGTGTTTTTTTTAAAACACATTTAAAAATGTGAACTTTTTGAAGTTTTTATCCGAAACTTAAAAGAATAATAAATTTAAAAAATTAAAGTTAAAACTTTTAATGGTAAATCATATGGTTAAACTTAAACTTTCGGTGTTAAAAACCTTCAAGTTAGTGTTGTTAGAAAAATTTGACGTATATCATAAAATTCATATGTTCTTTTTTCTATTTCCCCCACTCTTCATGTTTTTTTGTTGGTTACAAACATAAATTATATTTATCAAAGTTAAATTACATGATTGATAGATAGTTGAAATATCCAATTGAATGAAGTATAAGAGAAATGGAATTGGCAAGAAATGTTAAACACTCAATGCAATTTTATGTGAATGCTAAGTAAAAAAAATTTATACCCAAAGCAAGATGACCAATAAACTTCTAACAAGCACAAATCCACAAAATTAAAGTATATTCTCATCAATATTTGAGACTAAAATAACATAAATTTACAATGTTGCATTAATATAAGTTTTAAGCTTAAAAATAAATAGTAACACAATTACTATGATGAGGGAGCCTCATGTACAATAATCAACAAATAATTTATCATTCCAACATGAGCATCCACAATACAATACAGCAAATAATATTTTAATGTATATATAAGGAATCAAAAGATATATCAATCAATTTCGAAGGAATATCAAAATTAAAATAAACTATTGGAAGAAACGAAACTTTCAATGAAGATGAGAATGTATGAAGATATTGGAAAAAAAACCTTCATAAATGAAAAAATCATGCTTTTGTTGAAAGAATATTTTTGTTAGAAAGGGTAATGTAACTTTTGGAGTTTACACCAGTGTTGTGATAACCGGACCGGACCGGACGCTCCGACCGGTTCGATCGCTGACCAGACTTGAAAACGGCTTCATTTTGTAGTCTTAACCGAATGAGTAGTTGGACCACTTTGAACCAGAGAAATTCCGGTTCGACCGTGCTAAACCCGGTTAAACCGGAATAACCCATGAAGAAAACCGGACGGCTCACTTAAAATTTTAAAAAAATGGAACATTACTCTAATGTTTTGTTTATTTCGGTCCAAAAATAATAGATAGATGATACATCAATATAGTTATATAAAATTATTAATTATATTAAATTTACATTTATATATAATTATAGATAAAAATTATTAATTATATTTAAAATCATCCGGTCCGACCGAACGGCTTAACTGGTTAAACCGATTAGACCTAATACAGGAGTTCTTCCGGCTTGACGTCTGGCTTGGGTTTCCCAACATTGGTTTACACATTGTTTTGAGAAAAAAAATGTTTTTAATTTTACTTTTTTCGATTGGATTGGGTATCCATCCAAATGGATATCCATTGGATATAATTGATGGATTTGAATCCATCCATTATCAACACTATCCATTGGATTATATCCATTTAAATCCATTAGCTGTAATGGATGGATTTAGATGAATTTAACTTAAATGGATTTTAGATCGATCGTATATTGTGGATTATTTTGCCACCACTATTTTCAACTTAATGTGGCAGGGTACTATTCTACCACTAGAATTTAATAATACTATTATATATATATAACATGTATTAAAATCCTACTCTTGTCTAACTTCACTCCTCCCATAGGGTGACCAAGTACGAATAACCCAACCTAACCCACTCATTCACTTTGACCCATCATCATTAGAGTCGAATATAATTGGGTTTCGTCAGGTTAAAGTTTAAAAGTTATACCATATCAATATTTATGGTCGGGTAAGGAACAAACATGATTTTGTCTGACTCAGCCTATGTCACTCATTCTTCATATTTGTATGTGTGTCTATTCAGTTGTGTATAGAGTTAGACCATATCAATATTTAGGGTCGGGTAAGAAACAAACATGATCCGGTCTGACTCAGCCTATGTCACTCATTCATCATATTTGTATGTGTGTCTATTTAATTGTGTATAGAGTAATGATATCTTTTTGGTCAAAAATATTATTGATTTTCTAGTTTTTCATTGTATATATATGATTGTCATTGTATATGCACATATATCATTTCATATATCAAATTACAAATACATAATAATAAATAATATTGAGAAGAATTTTTTCAAAATAGATATGTATTATATTCAATCGGATCTAGGATCAGATTCGGTTTCAAAGTCTGACTTGGTTGACATTTAAGGTCGAGTTATCTTCAAGTATAAGATTAGGTTCATGTTCAAAAATAAACCAACCAATATTTAGAGAGAGTATGAGACAAGTCTTACTCAACTCACGCTCCTCCCTATCTCTCACCACTAAAAGAGACAAACCATAATATAGAAATGATTTCGGTCTCTTCATTTTTCTTTACTTTTTAGTTCCTACTTTAGGGATAACTCTCCATTATATGTCAACATCATAATTGGTCATGTCATCAATTATTATGACATGTATTATATTTGAGTGTTAACAACATTATCACTCAAGATTAAATAAAAAAGCCAAGAATATACAAGTACTAGGGGAACGGTAGACATAACATTAGTAGTATTATAAACATGGGTTGATAAGATCGTGCTATGTCCTCTTTTATGAATCTTTAACACATGATACTGTTTTTCCGGGTTTCCAAGGTGTAAAGAAGAGTGTTATGAGTTCAATGTCATCATGTACATAATGTAAAGGAGCAGTGACTGATTTGGAAATAAATTGCTCAATAACAACATGACCATGTAAAAAAAACACATATTTAGAGCTCAGAAGCACATATTTTCATCTTAGAGATGAAAGTGATTGACCAACAAACACAGAAATGCTAATTATCATCATAGCTCTATCAAATGCACCAGCCGGGAATCGAACCCGGGTCTGTACCGTGACAGGGTACTATTCTACCACTAGACCACTGGTGCTTGTTGAATACTGTTTTTTATATAATAACTATAATATCAATTTTATTGTTTTTAACTTTTTTATATATATCACACTTACTACGCATGAGGAATAAGAGGGTTCCTTCTTAGTTATATTTCGAGACAAATTCATATATACATTTTAAATTATATGATTTTAGCCGTTCATACTTTTTTATTCATATTACATAGTTGGTCACGATTTACTTTACATATACTTGCATTCTAATTTTGAGATACATTCTACTCTATCTATTGTCTCAGAAACATGTGAGATGGTGTAGATCATTAAACTCCAAGGAGTTAACTTAGTGTGGATATTTGTATATGTAATTCATGAGTTATTAATCAATAATGGCTTATACTAAATGTGTATAATGGACCTTAGCATGAACAGCAGCATCATAGGATCACCCTAGCCATAGTTTGAAACCATGCAAAAACCAAAATTGCAAATCATGAAATATCAAAATACTAATGCTTATAAATCTATAATACTACAGTTAAATAAGGTGATACACATGTTACAATATGTAAGTTATTCACATCTGAAACGTAAAAGTCATTATCTTAAAGTAAAGACATTTTATGACATAACCAACATGACATTGATATAATAATGTAAAGTCTTGCTAAATCTTTTAGATGACCGAAAGATCAAAATTTTAATTTTTAAAAGCGATATTTGTTGAAATAAACAATCAAATATCTCAAGAAAGATTAATTCTTTACTTAAAATTGTGAGGAAATATACTCGATAGTGCCCTATTAGAAATGGACCTTGTGGCTGGACCTGCAATAAAGAAAGACAGACAACGTGTTTTCTTCCGCATTTTCTTTCTTTTAATTTAGCAACCTACTTGTTTCGAATTGAAATTATCTCAGATATTTAACCCTCCAATGTTGAAATGCAAGTGGAATAACATATTTATAAATTTTAGAATATTTTAATTAAAAAAACAATGAGATTTTAATCCTTACATAAAATTTGGTGTAAAATGTTAGCATATGTACGAAGTACTGGATCTCAACTCACTTATTTCCTGCATCACTGTTGAGGGCACACATTTCAGTGTCTTGGGACACGTGCTACATATATATTATTTGCCCTATCATGATGCTTATGAGTAGAGATTTTGCTATTAAGCGGATAAAATTCAATGCACTGTCCATTTTAAAATAGAATAAAAAAAAATTAAATAAATTAATTGAAGATACAAACTAAATGGTTGAAATTTGTATGTCTTCCCTGTAAAAAAAAACATGACAAATGAGTAAAATTTGTATAGCGTGCCCATAAAAAAGCGGGGTATACAGGCGCTCGCAGGCATTATGCCCATTATATTATCTATACTTATTAGTAGGGGTGAGCAGGACTCGACCCTACCTTGCTCACCAAGTATGACTCGATCATGATCGGGTTTGAAAATGGTCGGGTCTCATTGGGTCTAGGTCGAGTTCGGGTTCAAAAATTAGACTTAGTTAATATTTAGGGTCAGGTAGAGACCAAGCATGACCCGTCCTGACCCGTCTCATTGTCACTCAATCATGATGTTTGTATGTGTCTCTGTTCAAATATATACATATTAATTATACTTTTTTGGTCGAAAATATCATCAATTCTCTATTTTTTCATCATATATACATGTTTAATAATATATATACATATATATTATTTTATATGTCAAATTACATATTCATAATAATAAATAATATTTAGAAGAATTTATGTAAAATGATTATACGTTATATTTAATCGGGTCTTGGATCTGGTCCGAATTTAAAGATTGATCATGTGAATATTTAGGGTCAGGTTAACTTTGAGTGTAGGGTCAGGTTGAGAAAAATGACCCAGACAATATTTAAGGTCGGGTAAGAACAAGTCTGAACTCATCCTAACCCGGCTAACGCTGACCCTACTCATGGGAGCTAAACCCTATATACATTGCATGTCATAAGTCCAGGTTTCCGCTTGTGTTCTCAACATCAAAGGAAAGACAAAGATGTAAAGAAGTTTATTTCGTCCGCTATACGTGGCCGAACCATGGTTCTCCACGAAGGGTTATGTCACTAATTAAATAGATTCCTCTCTAGATTGTGAGAGAGAAAGTATTGGAATGTCAGGGAGAAAGTTTTCTAAAATATTTAATTTAAAAAAATAAAAATCTAAATAATTAAAAAATTATTTTTACTATGTGATACAGTCTTATTTATACATCGATCATTTCAGTAATGAATACGAGTCAGACTGGTTTCTAATAGAATAGAACTGTAGATTTTGATTATCAAACAGTTCCCATTTTCCATATTATTTACTTTTGGTCCAAAATATTAGTATTTATTTTAATTTTATATATTCGTACCATAATATCCAAGTTTATTTAGATATACTTTGGTTTTAAATTTCTACCCACAATCATATTTAAGATCAAAATTCTCCACGATCTTTCATTTATGGTTATGGATACATCGGTTGTATTTTTAAAAAATCTCAAAATTGTCTACAATTTAAATATGTACAATAAAAAACTAATTATTTAATCATTACCATGGTCTTCTTCCATACTCCAAATCTATTTTTGATTATTGATTCTTATTTTTTCAATGGGAACACATAAAATGAAGCGTCCAAATACCTGCAATGCAATGTATAGAAATAAAGAAGACAAATCAAAGTTTGTGATATAGTTAGAAGTAAAAGTACAGTGAAGATGCCACTATTCTACGGTGGTGATATCACCCAATATTATCTACTAACTATTCATGAAAGAGCATCAAAATAAAGCTGATTCTTCTTATTTTTTACTTTATTTTCTATCTATTTTAAGCCAACCACAATGTAGTGGGAAGAAAGTTTTCTTTTACCATTTATAAAAATAAAAAAATCTTTTACCAAGTGTGAGAATAAGTTTAAGCTTTAGAGTGAAGTCAATAATTTACTTGCCGAACTAGCTATGCCATTCTAAATTTAACTATGTTCATTTGGATTCTTGTTTACCCTGCTATTTCTAATTAACCTAAGAATTTGCTTCATGGTAACCTTCATTGTCATTTTATGACGTTTTGAGCAAGAAATCAAACTATTTAATGCAGCTTCTTCCATAAGATTATTTACCAATCACTTTTTGGTGCTATATTTATAAGTTAATATCCTCTCTAATACTCGAAAAAGAAATACATGAAAAAGCAAAGGAGAAAAAAATAATAATATAATGTGATACTTTTATTAGTGAAATATAATATGTTGACAATATGTGAAATGTTAGTAAGTACTAAGTACTTTGATGCATTGTTTAAGGAATTTTTTTTTATAATTTTACCTCAGTATATATGTTTCATGGGAGGGGATTCACTTAAATCTACTCTACATCTTAAACATTTATCCTTAGAAAATGCAATGGTTTAGATATATCCAGAATTAATGGTATATTTTTTGTATGTTAACTTTTGAGTTTTCCTTAAAGAATATCATTAGTCAGTGTTATTAATATTGTATCGGTCATCAAACCGGTAGGGGTAATGATACATTGATATAATAGTTTAACTGGTGGTTCACTAATTAAACTGCATACCGGTAAAGTTAGATATACATATATAATATATTAACGTTGAAAAAACGTTGAAAAAAATTATTTTTATTTTTATTAAAAAGTTAATTTTAAATAAAAATCGACTGGTATGACCGATACGGTTCAATTAAAAACCGGCTGGTATGACCAATTTTTACCAATTTTGGCAGATTTTTATCGATATAATTGCATGATCAGTACAATTATTGCATCGTATCGATATTGGGACCAGTTTACCTGTTCAGTCGGCCAGCACGAAACGGTTTTAATAACTATGTCATTAGCATTTGATAGCAAAATGAGAAGTAAATGGTGCATATCTAGCATCTAAATTATTCCTATATGGGATAATTGAAAGAGGAAAAATTTAGAGCAACAAACGACCTCAAGATTCCTCCATGTGAGGTTCTAAATGCAAGAAAATTATTTGTTGGATCGATTTCTACGTTTATTATTAACCAAAAATGGATAAAAGAAGCATTAGTGGATTTTTTCCTCTTCATATCATTGCAATGATTGTTCATCTATAATGGAAAAAGGAACTACTAAATATGGATATTGAATGAATAATGTATTTTATGTCTTATGTTTCACCATACCTCACCCCTATTTAAGGTTCTTAATTGATTTGTTACTACTCTTGGACATTGCAAATTCTGGGCATGACTAGCAAATTGACACGTAAAAAACTTGCTTTCCCTTCTCCCTTTCAATTATTCTTGTGGCCTTTTGTTTTTGTATTTGTCCTGGAGTCATATTTATGATTGTTTATAATTTTTGAGATTGGAATATGAAAATAAGTAATTCGTCATATTTGAAGCTTTGTAAAAATACCCATTTCTTAAAATAAATAAAAAATATAATATCTATGCAATATTGGTGTAAATATTTATATACAGTCATTATATCATTTATTCATCATTCATTTATAGATGATGAACTGACAATATATAAAATTCTTGCACTACTAATCCATATATTTTTTGATATAAAAAATCATTTATAACCTAAGCTAGTTATATACACAAGTTTAGATTATAAAAGTTTATAATCTAAAACTAATGAAAAAAAAGCTCTACCAACATAGACTTTTAAGTGAAAGTGTACTGCAATTAATCCTTTAAAAAAATTGTGGGGTTGGGTTCACCAAAATCATGATAAACCTTATATTATAGAAATGTTTACAAATTATTCATTAATATGGTCCACACCTTAATAATGAGTAAAAATGATATTCATTATAGGATAAACAAGTGACACAAAATTAACACAGGAAGCGAGTCAGGTTTTGTCTTAAATAAACTTGGCTTATATACCTCTACATTACTATATTACTGTGAGGGAAAATATTATTATGAGAATTTAGTATATATATATTCCTCACTGACATGATTCAAATTCACTACATGGTCAGTTATGAAATGATTTCTCA